CTGCCATATAGTTCGATACGAGCCAAGATCCATCTAGATACGATAGAAGTCGAATTGGCGAGCCAAGGTTGCGCGAGAGATTTTACCTTCATTCCGTTATTAGTCCAGCGATGCGGTCATCGAATATCGTGGCTCGCAATTTTTGTATCACGCGATTACATCGGTATCGAATAGTGAAGCACGAAAACGGAAGTCTTCAAGACATTCAATTTGTAACACGTCCAACTTAGAAAACTGTTATTTTACAAAAGAATAAGAAGAGATTTACAGTTATACTTAATTTTGTTTGTATGGATGATGCCAATCGTCGATTAACGAAGTTTTATAATTCGCAAATAAAAAGAGCATGAAAAAGAAAGCATGTCACAAAAATGTTAATAAAGTTGACGTAAAGAGATCATTTATAAGAGGTCACTATTTGCAAACAGTTTAAAAATTCCTAATATAACGTACGTATCTATGCAAAAATGGTGTACTAAGAAATTGCTTTTATGCACACTGTTGTTAATAAATCTAAAATTAATTTTTAATTTTAAAATCAAGAGACACGGTAGTACAGGCGCAGCGCGAAACACTACCAAGTATATTTACGCAAACGCACGAGTTTTTAATTATAAAACGAGAAAATACGTCAGAAAAAAATGAAAGATATTTCTATAAACAGTATTGCTAATAGTTTGCAGATATTGAGAAAGTAACGAAGAATTATAGTCTTAAAGCATAGAAAAATATATTTTACACATACACATACACATATACATGCGCGTGAATCGAATATAAATCGTATTCATTATCATGGAAAGTTTAATACACTCATATCATCAAAACTGTGTGACTTAGGTAAAATGTTTTATAAAAATCATCACGTGTTATTTAATATATTTTATATATGTATTTTACTTATTTATCTCGTTTTCTACATTATATAGATTATAGAAAATAGCAAACTTGTATTAGCGGGATAGCGAGCACGTAACGAAACTATGTGTAGAAAATGCCTTAATAGTTCACGTAGTTCTAAAGTCTCTTGTGCGACAAAGCCGTCCCTATGTAATAAAAATCGTTTAAGCAGGCACAAAGGGGAATTCCGTACCGATCGGGTACTTTACCGTAACGACCGTTGTGGAGCGATTTACGGGGCTATCGAAAGTCTTTTTAAGAAGTTACCGGTGAGCCAGCCACGAAACGAATTATTCAAATTGCTTTCGATCCAGCGCGGCGGGTCAGTTGAACAAGGATAGACGTTTCGTCCCCGTGGTACCTGATCTGTACGAAGATTTCGTCGTTTGTACTATTTACTCCTATATGTTACAAAGATGTATTTATGCATACGAGCTCTATGAGTACTTATCCGGTGGAGTCGATATCAGCACGAATTTATCGCCAATTCGATCTCACGGAACATGTCTTGCGAAAAAGGGATTCGCGAATTGTCAGCAACAACAAAACATCGATCAATAATTTTAAAAGTTTTAAATAATTTTTAGATAGTTAAAAGCAGAAATTTATATGTTATAAAAAACAAATCACTTTTTATTCAATTAAATTTTATTTTAATTGATATTCGAAAAAAGCGTGACTATGAAATATACTTCTGAAACTATCGAGAACACCACCAAAAACTCGTTTGTATTTTCAAAATATTGTAGTAAAAATATTTTTAGGGTTCTTTTAATTTACACAAAACTCCAAAAAATGTTGTATGTATGCGTGTGTGATCATATTTATTGAAAATATTATAACAGAATATTTTATTGCTTCAAAATTAATGTCGCTTTTTAACCATTTACTCATGTTTAAAAAAAAACAGTGAATATAACAAAATATAGAAAAGTATTTTAACAATTATTCTTTAAGCTGAATAATGCTTGATATAGTCTGACGAAAGAAAGCAAATGTGAGGCTCAATTAATATTAATCAATCCACGTAATCGTAAAGCGTAAAAGAACGTAGATAAAAGATAAGCTATGAATTTATTATTATACGACTTTATGCTACTTTCAGCGTACATGTCTGGACTTCAACGCAGCTTCTCCATATACTTAAAAAGTTTGAAAAACCGATATGCATTTACTGCTTCAGCTCGTATCATACGGGTATCATACTCGTATAAGTAGAATAGCTTTAGAATTTCTAAGTTCGCGATCTACTGAGAATTTAAATTGAAATAAAAAAATCTAACATGTGTAAATTAATGCGTAAGGATATTATTAAATGTATGTTTCAACCGATTATGTTATACGATATTTTTTATGTTAATAATTCTCTCCCACCAGCATTGTACTCGAGAAGTATTATAGTTCACAGTAATTTTCAGTAAACTTTATGAAATAATTAAATTACCAGACCTTCATTGTTTTTATAACTGACAATTGAACTATGTATAATGTCAAATTATGTAAATGTCAAATTATACGTAAGAGAGATACAAGACAGAACATGTTTTGTTACTGCTCTTATTATAGATATAAAAGTTATTTATAAAAACCAAACAAAATTAAATTTAAAAAAAAATTGTAAACAAGAAAATGTCAAGTTCCAAATCCTCAGAAACGAATTCAATTAACATTCCTTAAATTTAAAAGCTGTGGCACCTGGGATCAATTTAATTTCAAAACGAGAGATTTTTACGCTCAAAAAGCGTATTACTTTTTTCATTCTAATTACTTAAAATTATTTTAAATATCGTTATACACATTTGTCAATTTCTAAACTTCGTTTTGAAGTTACTGCTTCAGTAATATTGAGACTCGCGCGGCATTCGACATCGATTTCGTTGATCTTGTGAAGGAAAAGCTGAGAAAAACGGAAGAACGATTGCCTTCAACGACGTTATCTCGAGGACGCCTCGCAAGTGTGCCGCGATGAACATGAAAACGGCCGACGAGCCGAAGATGATGGACGAGAGGTTACTGCCATGAGATCGACCATGAATTATGCAGACACTTCAAGCCTCATGGCTCCGCAGCGGTTAGACGGGACGATGGGAAGCTGAACGACGAGAAACGTTGTTAATGCGCAACGAGATGAGTGTTAAATCGTTCAGACGTCAAGTCACGAAACGTGCTATTGTATAAAAACGGCTTTACAAAAATCAAGAGTTGCCAGTTGCGTCACTCAAACTGAGAACTAATAGAAAACAGTACGTACGTGGGATCGCCGATTATTACCCGCTGTCGAATTATTCTTCCAAATAACAAATCACATGTTGGTGATATTACAAGATTTGGGTACTTATTCATTATATGGGCGCCACTTCTAAAACAAATATTTGTATTTATATAACAGTAGAGATTTATTCATTCATGAAATATATATATATATATATATAAAACAGTAAATTTAATTACCTCAACATTACTTCAACAAATAGTGTAAATAAGTTAATGATCGGCTGTGTTTTCAAGTAGAAAAAAATTGGAACGCCCGTACAATGAGTAAGTACCAAGATTTGTTATCAAAAAATTAGAAAAGTTTCATACTAGATACAGTTATAACTTCGCAACAAACATATAACATGATAATAAAACCACAGTATTAAGAGCAATGCTAATTAGCGTTATAATCCCATCGCCATCGTGTGTGCAACTATATATTTGTCTTCATTTTAGCTGTGGGACGCTATTTCGAGATTATTCGGTAGTAAAGACTTTAACATGCCTAAGTATCCCTCTTTAGCATTTTGGTTCGCGTATTTTACTCGACAATGTTAATTTATAGTGTTCCCGTCAAGAAAATATATTTATTTGCACGCATAAACGTAAGCGGAATAAAGTAAAATTTAGCAAGCAAAACAACAAAATTATAAAACAATTTTTGTATCCGATAAAACGTGCTTCTATAAATAAATTTGTATACTATTTCACGTGAATAATTACTTTAGTTTACGCATTGTTTTCGACAGCAACATTCACATTTTAATCACGAATCCTCCTAAAATTTTAACCTGGCAAAATAGGATTATATTGCCTCATTACATTCACATCGATCATCGTGAAAATAACGACCGCGGAATTAATAGCGCAAAATTTTAATCTGTTGTTTCAATTTGCTGGAACAGCTGTCGCAGAGCTCTTAATTCTAATTAAACATATATATACGGAGTGTTTCATCACGGCCAGTGTACAAGATGCGAGCAACGACTTGACTTTTCGTGACGCGAATACTCGAGGTAATTCAACGTATTCTCTAATTTACTCTTCTGTAACATTAAATCCAACTTGAGCACGCGAATCCGCGTTTTTCGTTTACAGCGCCCCAGAAAAGTCACGCTATGCTTGCGGATTTTTTCGCCAATTAACCTTCCCCCTTAATTCTTTTGCCCCGTGAATATTATTGATGGTTATTTTAACACTTTAAATTCGTTTTAATATATTATCTAATATCTTAAGACTCGAAGTCGTTAAGAAATTATTATCGTGCATGCAACGTGACATTTATGATTTCTTTTTTTACGAGAAACCTAAAAGCATCGTCATACTTATATATCTTTCTACTCGTTCACTTCAGAGCTGTCTTTATGATATATTAAATAACGATATCTTAAATAACGGACAAATTGTAGTACCTACTACTTTGCTTCATATTGAAACAAATTGTAGAGAAAAGTCAACATATCATCCGTCATATTGTGCGAGAGAGACTTTGTGTAGGTAATAACATTACCGCGCGAAACTAAAAAGAAAGTACATTTTCGACGAGTTCAATTTTTAACGTTACAGATACGGAAAAGTCTATTTTACGCCGATTGCAGCGTTACTATTGTTATACATACAGATTCCTATATACATCTATAGCGACTTAAAAACTTAAATATCTATCGTATCGGTTTTAACCTTTACTAAAAATTCGATAGCTGCCCTGATTGAATAGATTACCGAGTAATATACGAACGGTAAACGGAGGGAAGATAAAGAGGATATCGGAGCTTTTTACGTTCGCTCTATTCTATCCGAAATCGAAAGGTCACGAGGCGTTAATGAACTCAGGAGAAGCTTACCGGTTCAGCGTCTACGTAAATTCCACGATATCTGCGGATGTTACGAATCTCCCAACGTACGATGTATCCCCTCGCACGTCCCGAAAAAAGAATAATAACGTTCACTCAATGGCAGGCGATCGTCTTCAAACTCCAAGTCCTCTTCGAACTCGTGCTCTTTCGCGCGCCCTGCGAAGACGCGTAGGACGCGACGATTGGAGAGACGACGGCCAGGAGATAAGGCTATCCAGAAGATCCAGTCTGGCAGGAACTAACCGATTATCTCACGAGAAGCCGTCGTTCGTCCGAAAAACTGCAACCGCGAGATCGTCGCCGTTGACACGGGCTCTTTCACGACACATGGAACGTACGTTAAGCTCGCGAACGTACGTACCGCTTGCAAGCTCGCAGGTCACTGCTGTGGCAAGCTCGGTCCCCTTCCGGCTCGCGCACCCTCGCGCGCAATTCGCGAGCGCATATTATTCTCACCTCGTCGTCCTGCGGACATCACGGCGACGCGTACAATTTTATGCCGCTGCCCGAGCTTATACGAGGCTCGAGAGCGCGTTGCTTTTTGCGTATTGCATATTCGCGCGCTATCGATCGAAGCGTCTCGGTGGTGGCCGATAAAGGGCCGCAGCTGCATGAAGAAAGAGAGAGATATATAATATATATGTGTATGTGTA